TGTATTCCCACAAATCCCTTCCGCTGTCCCACTACAGGTATGCTCTCATCTGCGTCTTTCTAGGTAGCTACAGAGGCTAACTAAGGGACTTCCCCTAGGAAGCCCTGGTTTTCAAGAGGGGCACCACTGGGAGAGACAGTACTGGGCTCCTGCCCAGGTTCTTACAGTTCACAATGCTGTGACCTTTGGCAAGTTACTAAACCTCTAAGCCTTGGCTTCCTCTTGTGCATGTTTTTATGTGTCATCACAAGCTATATGCTCTAGCTTTATTAGCTCATTTAGCCCTTTCAACAGTTTTGTGGAACTCATCACCATCATTATCATTTTGTACATTAACAACAGAACTCATAAAGGTGAAGTAATTTGCTCAGCATCATAAAGTTAGTGCTCAGTAGAGCTGGCTAATGCCTGCCTTGCGGCGCCCAGGGAAGAAGTGGCTTGCTCACGGGGATCTTCAAGTTAACATTCTGGCACAGAAGAAAACCTGATAAGAACAGCACCCTCATAAGTTAAGAATGTTGTCAGGGACTCCAAGAGTGACTTCCACTTGAACAGGGAGATTGGAAGCACAATAAGACAACCGCATGTCACACACTGGTTTTATAACTCAGGACATCAGACACTGCACCATCCTCATCCCTGGGACCACAGAACAAGCTAGGTAGTTCCCAAAGATTCTCCAGCCTGCTTCCTGAGTTTCTAGCTGAACCGCAAAAAACAACAGAAGCCCAGAGAGTCCTTGACGGGGACAACAGCACCAAAGTTTGCACAACAATGTTGCAAAGAAAGGAGCTTTCCTAGAGAAGTGCAAGGTGTACCAGTCCTCAGCCTTGGGAGCCTTCTGAGCGAGGGACTTGCACGTCAAAGGATTACCTCAGAGCTGGAAACAAATACCTGCGTTTGGGCTGAGAATAGCATCTGCTCACTCTGACTCAACTGGAAAAGCTCCTGCTCCTGGGTTCCCCGGAAGACTATGCTATTCATCAAGGTCGTGACTTAGGAGTGGTGAATGGCAACAATATAATAAGAGTATTTCTCTTGACACACTTCGCAGGTTACACCATTAAAACCCGAAATGAACCAACTGGTTCCAAGTAATTTAACTATAGGCCAAGAGTATTTAAATAAACACAGGAAATATTTGGCATCCAACAAGATAGAATTCACAATGTCTGTCATCTAAACAAAGATTTTATAGGGATAGAGATTAACTAAAAAACATGTGAAAAAAAAGTAACTGACAAGTAAACTAAACTAGTAATGACATAACTCTTTAAAGTAGCAAAGACATTTACATTGTTATCACCCTATTTTATATATTTTAAGTGGTAAGTAGTGATATAGGAAATTCATAAAAGATTCAAATCAAACATTAGAAATTAAAATGTTAGTGCCTAAGGCGAAAAATACACTGAGTTTGATGAAGGGGGGGTTAAATGTAGCTAAAATATTGAAATTGGAAGCATACCTCTGTAGGAAAGGTTTACAGGGAAAGGCTTTAACACAGAACGCACAATTTGTGGGATTATTTTATAATAGTCACCCACGGCGCTAAATGCAAAAAGTGCAGCGATGCGTGCGCACCGTAGAGACCCACGGAATCCCACCGAGGGCCGATCCCAGGCTCAGGTCCTCCACGGTCGGCTGGAGGTCTGTGGCAAGGATCTGCACTAGGACGGCCCAGATGGCAGCAGTGGAAGCTGGAAGGTCGGCGCCAGCAGAAGGAAGGCTCCGGGCCCCAGCTGAGGGACAGCTGCGCCATCCTCAGCAACAGCGAGGAGCTGAGCTCCTCTGGAGAAGAGAACAGGGAGCTTCTATCGCGAAGCCAGCGCAACGCGCTTCCCCTTGGGCTCTCTCATTATGCTGCTGGCGACAGTCCGACAGTCCGGAGCTGGCCTTCTGTACCCGGCACCGCACCGATTCAGCTCAGCTGGGTGGTACCTGGTCACCTTTAGCTAATCCAGCACACACAGCGCTAGAAAACATCCAAGATGAAGTGAACAGGAAACAAACATTAAGAATAGCGTAATTGCTCAGATTGCCAGAAAAAAGCACGAAAAATTGGTCAAAAATTATAAAAAATTGAAAAGGAGAGAGGAAAAAAAAATCAAGTACTAACTGCTCCTTTCAACAGACCAGCAGAAATCAGCAGTACAGCCATCCAAGCTATATTGTGTTTATGCATATGTATTTCTTTTATTATTTTTTTCTTTTTTTCCCCTCCTTTCCCTCATCCCTGTTGTTCCTTCCCTTTGAACAGTTTCTTTCCCGTTCACAGTATCTACTGTACCTTTCAGATTTTAATTACTATTTTGTGTTCTTACACTAGGGAGCCAATATAACAACCACTGTTGAATTCCTTTTTATTTTCTTTAGTGGAATTCCATATTGTTTTTCATGTTTTGTTTTTGCTTTTGTTTTTGTTTCTCTTGTTTTTTAACTATTTTTATTGTCTTTAAAAATAAAAATGAAAATCCAGATTTAAAAAAAAAAGAAGAGCATAACAGGCATGTAAAGCTTTCAGCAGCTAAAGACACAGAGAGTCCCTAAAGGTTGAGATAGGGGTTGGACCTAAAAAAATTTCAGTAATTGCCGAAATGTTTATAAATTTATTTAAAAATATAAAAGCTCAGATTAAGAAGCTCAATGAACCCCAAGCACAAGGAATGTGAACAGAACTGTTACACTAAGGCGCACCATCTTCAAGCTGTTCCAAATCATTGATAAAAGCAAATCTCCCGGCCAGCCTGACAGCTCAGCCGACTAGAGCGCCTGCTTAGGCAGAGCGCTGGGGCTGGGGTTCCATCCCAGGCATGCCGAGCCAGCCCCACTCCTGGGGCATGCTGGACACCCTGTAAAACCTGCCCTAAGTACAGAAAAAAGCAAGCAAATCTCTTTGCCTAGAAGAGGAAACACACATTCTTAATACAGTAAGGCCCCAACTATAAACAAGTTCTGTTTTAGGAAAATGTTCATTAGTTCACTAGTTGGATTCCTTTGTAACCCCACAAAGTGAGTCTTAGATAGTACACACGTGAATCATATGCAGTATATCTACAAAGTTCCCAACTTCAATATTCCTAAATTGGGAGCTTAAGTTTTTGTTTGTTTGTTTGTTTTTAAGTAGCAGCTAATTTCTCATAAGAAGCTATGCAAGCAAAAGCCCATGGGAAAATCTTGTTAAAGGACAGGGAAGAAAAGGAGCCACCAACCCATAGTTCTATACTCAGCAAAGGTTTATAAAAAAATGAAGAGAAAATTAAGACTAATTCAAAGAACTGGCCATAAGCAGACTCATACTGCAAGAATGGAAAAGAAAGAAGTCCTCCAGGAAGTAGAAACTACCACCACAATAAATCACAATAGCAAAAGAGTTACAGCTGATATGCAAAGAAGAGAAAATGATATATAAAAATATTCAACTAATTAACAAATAAGCAAAAAAGAGGGAAAGGAAAAAATAGAAAAAGGAAATAGAAAATAAATGGTAATATGATGGCTGTAAATTAACCATCCCACAAATTATAATACATATAATTGTTCAAGCAATCCAATAAAAATTAAAATTGCTAAACTGGCTTACAAATCAAGAGTCAACTATGTGCCATTATTTTATATATAGGGCTACAAATAGACTAAAAGGAAAATAATACACAATGCTGACATGCTCACACCAAAGGCAAACAATGGGAACAACAAATCTTAATTACCTATTTTAATATCACACAAAGTAGATTCCATGGCAAAGTATACTGTCCAGGTAAAGAAGATAATTTCAAAGAGATAAAATAGTCAATCAAAGGATATCATGCTCCTAAATTATGATACGCCTAAAATTATAGTTTCAAATGCATGAGGCGGTCCAGCAACAACTGCGAGAAAGAGTCCAAGGCCAGCCCCTCTTTCCTCTCCTGGTGGGACTCAGGGGCTGGAGACAGCGAGAACACCAGCAACGCTGAGGCACTGGGGCTGACACGCCCATGGTGCACAGCAGGAGGTGCAAGGCAGCAGGAACAGTGAGTCCGCAGGTGCTGGCTGGGGTGCCAGCCTGCGCCTGGGGATGGCGACACGTGGACTAGAAGCAGGCAGGCAGAGCCGTCCTTTGTCTTTTCTCCTACCTTTATTTGTGGTTTTCTCTTCCACATAACTGGGGAGAATTCTGTTCGCAGAACACTAACCCTGTCCCCAAATCCAGACACAAAGATTCGACCCAAACCCAGCACAAATTCCCCTGCAATCCTGACTAGCGTACACGTTCTGGGATCACACTTGAACCTACGCAGAGCCGCAGACACTAGAAGAATTTCGCTGCATTTATTTTTTCTGTCTGATCATTTTTCTTTTTGGTAGTCAGCTGGATTAATGACTTTTCTCTCTCTCTGCTCTGTTTTGTCGGGGTGTGTGTGTGCGTGTGTGTGTGTGTGTGTGTGTGTGTGTGTGTGTGTTTGGTGTATATAGTTATTTTGTTTCCCTCTTTCTTTTCTCTCTCTTTTTTTAAACTGTTTTCTTTTCTCTCTTATTCACAATTTAGATCTCTACACTTTCTCTTTTATTCTATTCATCATCTTCCTCTCTTCTGTCAACTATCTCTCTGGATTTTACAATACTTTCATGTGAGTACACATTGGGTCTTCTCTTTCCAGTTCACAAAATCCTTTCTGCTTTAGCCAAAACTTGAGTGATCATCCTGTGCCCTCCAAGCTAGCTCCTGCTGTGCTGAACCTAATTTATCTCTCCATCCTACCCCTAATGCTTCATAACTTCCCCCTCTAAAAAAGGGTAAAATCATACTTTAAAAAAAAAAAAACAATTTTGAGAAACAAAAAGCAATGAGACAGTTTCAAAATTGATTATTAGCACAGTTTCAATAATCAATACATTGCATATTGTTGTCTAGTGGTTATTCGTTGTACAAGATGCAGTCATGATATCCTGCTCACAAACACTATTAAAACATATCTCTTTTCAAAGATAAAAGAGAATGCAACTGTGTATCTGTATTAACTATTTTGAACCTACAGATACAAGATAGTCATTCATTTGTGCAGGGGCCATGCTAATCTTCTCTGTATCGTTCCAATTTTAGTATATGTGCTGCCGAAGCGAGCACAGTCATTCATTTGTATCTCCAGTTTTTGTTTAGTTTTGTCAGAGAAGGGTAATACACTGTCATTTAAAAATTTAGGTGCCTGAATTCAGCAAAATAATCCAATATAGTCCAGTAGTCCATAATAGTAGTGGGTTATCTGTAGGACTGGCAATGTCAGAAGTTGTTGACTTGAGCCTTTTTCAGCTCGGCATATTAATATGGCTTTACTTTTTATACCTCGGTTTTATACATTTCTGTTGGATAGTTAAGACCAAGACAAAGCAAGACTTGTATAATAAGAAATGTAACTTTTGTATCTGATAAGGGCAGTCAGCTCCCCTCAAGATTTATCCTGTAACCCTGTACCACAGTCTGTAGATCCTTTGTCAGTGTCAGCCATGTGGATGAGTCATGGCCATTGCTTGACCAATTTGCTCTCTGTGAAAGCCTGAGAGAATGTTTTCTCTCCATGTGACTCTCCTTAGGCACACTCTACATCATCAGTTACATTGCTCTGTGGCCCCATAATCTTCTTGATCAGAAAATTTGGGACAAATCTGAGTTACATGATGCTGCACTACAGGTTCTCCTATGTCCTGAGTTCTCACTGACCTTAAAAGGCTAGGGCAAAAATGTTAGCTGTCCTTGCAGCCCTTCTTTTTCTCTAGTTTTTGGCCTGCAAACTTAGGTTGTTAGCCCTCCAGAAGAGAAGCTTATTGTTATTACCCTACAACATAGGCAGTTGAGCTTAACCTCACTATCTGTCTGAATATCAAACATTTTAGGCATAACTTGGAACAGGCATTTTCCATCAAGTATTGATATGTTAAAATTTAAGTCCCTAAGAAATATGAATAAAAAATTAGAAAAATAAAAAATATTTTTAAAAATAGGAATGAAGAATTGCATATTTTTACACAGAAATTTAGAAATCTAGCCATATACATCATTGTAGCAGGACAGTCTTATGTCATTTTTTCTTGTCTCTTATTTTCATTTATTATCCCCTTCTTTTTAAACAAACATTTACTAGAGAGACAGTATGGCAGTAACTAGTATATCATGACAAACATTACATATTCAGAAGACCAGAATGACAGGCATTCCAAGCATGACCCTACCATTACACAGTGCTATCTCCAGTGAAGTTGCTTAGATTACAGGTATCAACATACATAGTTAGCATAAAAATCTTACCAATTAACTGCTAGTTTCAAAAACATGCTGCAAATTCTCAGGATCATTCCCTTACCCATCTTGTACATATAAAGGTATGGCTTTGCCTCTGTCACATTTCCTAGCTTTTCTCCTTGCCCTCTCTTCATTGCCTAATCCTTAAGTTCTCACTTTCCTTTTAATTGTGATATATCTTTTTACTTTTATATCTTCTCTTCAGTTCTTCTACTAGGGTGAATATACAACATTTACACATGTGGGTCTGGTTTATTTCACTTATGAGTATATCTTCAAGTGGCATCCACTTCAATATAAAGGCTTCGAGTTTATCATTCTTTATAGCTAAGTAATACTCCATTGTATAAAAATGGCACATCTTTTTCATCCATTCCTCAGATGACAGGAATCTTGGTTGTTTCCAAGATTTAGCTATCACAAATTGTGCTGCTATAAACATAGGTATGCATATATCACTATGATATGACGTTTTCAGTTCCTCCGGGAAAATTCCCAGTAGGGGATTGAATGAGATTTCCAGTCCCAGTTTTTTAAGAAGTCTCTACACTGATTTCCATAATGGTTGTGTTAAATGGTTGTTTCCATAATGGTTGTGTTAAATCTCACATTTAAGAGATATCTGCTTAATGAACCTACGAAATGTTCTGACTAGTGTTTTTATTTGACCAATATATATATATGTTTAATAGTTTCTTTGCCTTTGTCTTCCGATTCAAAGCTGTAATGAAAACACGTGGTGTCTATTGAGGGCCTTTAGATAGAACCTCTGAAGAATATATCTGACTGCAAGTCAACAACTACAACCCGTTTCAGCTTGAAGAAGCCAGAGTGGTCATCGCCCATATTTCCCTCACAGCAGTTCGGGTTACTTCTTCAGAGGGGGGAATGTTGCAGGCAGCTGAGTTAGACAGAAATATTATAGGCAGTCAGACAGGGTCAGGCCCTCAAGGAGACAAGATGGAAGACAAGGTGACTTTGCAACTTGGAAGAGACAGACACTCCCATATGGGCCACACCTGAAGACCAAGACAAAAAGAGGAAGTACAGCTATATAC